ATTATTATGGGGTGTTTTTCCATAGAGTGAAAGGCTCCTCCTTATAACCGATGTGCGCCACGCCAGAGCCCATCGCGTCTCGAGGCTACCCGCTAGGTACGGTACCTTTGCAGTGCAAAAAGTCCTCGGGGTGAGGGAAGGACCCCTCTTCGCAGAGCAGCTCACAGGTTTTGTCCGATGCCAGGGGGTAGCCGTTGTCCTCCTCGTTGTAGTCGCTCTTGCCGTTGCTGTTTGAGTAGCCGTTGGCATACATCTTCAGGGCGGACCTGCGGAGGCACAGCAGCTCCTGGAAGGCATACCTGAAGTCCGGGCTCCGGCAGTAGATCAAAGGGTTGAAGGCAGAGTTGACATAGCCCAGCCAGTTCAAGAGGATGTACACGTACTTTGGTATGATGTCGTCCTGGATGACATGCACGATGTTGACGATGAAGAAGGGCAGCCAGCACAGCGTGAAGGTGCCCATGATGATGCCCAGGGTCTTGAGGGCCTTGTGCTCCTTCAAGAAGAACTTGGAGGAACGTCGGTGCCCAGCTCCCCCTTTCTGCTCCTGCTCCTTGTTCTGGGTGTGAAACCTCCCCTCGCTCCTGTCTATCTTCTGCAACTGCTTCTTGGCCACCTGGAAGACCCTGGCGTACACAAATACCATGACCACGAGTGGCAGGTAGAAGGAGATGATGGAGGAGGCAATGGCATAGGCTTGGTTGGTGAAGAAGTCGCAACATGTGTCCTTTTCGTAGCACAGGATGGCCTCCTCACGGTCTGCCCGGTACCAGTGCATTTGGATGGGCAAGAAAGAGGTGAGGGCCGAGACCACCCACACCACGAGGATGACCACGCGTGCTTTGCTCTTGGTCAGCAGGCTCTGGTACTTGAAAGGAGAGGTGATGGCGAAGTACCGGTCCACAGCAATGACGCAGAGGGTCTCAATGCTGGCCGTGACGCAGAGCACGTCCAGGGAGGTCCAGAACTCACACCAGAAATTCCCAAACTTCCACATCTCCATGATGATGTGGCTG